TAAACAAAACCAGCCTTTACTTACTTCCACAGAACAAGCCAGCAAAACCCGCAACAATTGAGTTGTATGTGTTATAAGGATACTGCAAGTTAGTCCTTACGTAAATGACTGTTTAATTTACCCGGGTCCAATAAAGGTGCAGCATACCCTTACCGGGTTTGTACAGTGAGCTTGAAAAACGTGTATGCACACACTAGCGGTCTTTGAAGTAATGCAGGACTAGAGGAGATAAGCTTAATAATCTCATCCTGTGCCTGTGAACATAGGATTTGGTGACTGCTATAGAATGTCTGGTTTAGTACTGTTCAGGGTTTGGTTTTTTTTTTGCTTCTGACCTCCTTTGTTAAGTGAGGTACAGGCCCTTGTGTAGTGACCTTAACCTTTTAGAAAATAGCTGCCCTTTAGCACCAATGCTTAGACGACAAATTGAAAAGTACTGCCTTCCTAGTTACCTCAGTAGGTGATGTTTCTTGTTAGTAACAACCTGAAGGCTGCAGTGCCTCAAGTTCTGGAAGGACTGTGAAAGTGGATTTGAGCCTGTCATGAAGCGTATGATCAGTGTGTTTGAAGAGTCATGCCGTGTACTCTTAAAGTTTTGGACTGTTGTACATGGTAACTTATCTGAAGTGCAAAGCTAAGTGACTTATTTTTTTATTTTATGATTGCAATGCTGTCCTGCAGTCAGTTTACCAGATTTTCTTTGTTCCATCCACCATTTGACTACTCAGAAATAGAATGCAATAGATACAAAATTAGCAGGCTGCCCCTGAAGAAGAAATGCTTAGTGGGTGCTGTCTGGTTCTCAAACCGGGTGTGGATTGTCTTCCACTACTACATATGAAAAGGTGTCAGGCAAATTTGGTGTTGATGAGTGCTGTTCAAAACATAAGTATTGTGTTCTGTAAGGATTATACATTCAACAAATTTAATTCGTGTTCCTTTTCTCCCAGTCAATAGCTGATTGTGAAGCCAATCACTCTTAATTTATGCATGAAGTAAAACTAAGGCAAGATTGTATGTATAATTTCTGTTCCTGTTCATTTTGTATTGAGTGGGCAGTGCACATCAAAGGAATAGGATTTCCTTTACCGTGAAGTTTTTGGATTATTAAGCATTTGCCTGCTCAGAGGTGGATGTAAGGTGTTGTTCTTGGACTGATGTGATCCATTAGGTGGAATCAGTCTTGTTTTAATGTGCTGTATGTTCTCAAATAGAAAAGTTGGAATCTCAAAAGTGACTTTTATGCCCAAGTACTTAAAAATATTTCCAGTTTGATTGATCTTTACTACAAGGGTAGCAACAGCCCTTATAGCTTCAGTAGTATCTGGTGAACTTAGATGACGTTTGTTTGGGGTATAAATTTGGTGAAGTATGAGAAAGTATATTATTGACTAATAAATAGTAGTCGTACAATCATAGTAAAACATACTTTTGGTCCTCCACTAAGAAATTGAAGAAAAAACCCACAACAATCTTTTTTTAAAAAAATCTCTAATTTCCTATATTCCATAATTCAAGGCGTTAGGTAGAGCTTTTGCATAAATCTGTTGAGAGCGAATTGTATAGTAGTTGATGTAGGTTCTGTGTAGCTGAAGAACAGGGACACTTGCTGTCCCTGGGCAGCTCTGTCCCACCTCCCTTGTCAGAACAGGAAATGTTTAAGCACAGATGAGAACGTAGTGACAATATTTGAATGAATGACAGGCTCTTAACTGATGTGATAATATTCCTCTTCCTAGATTTGCATCTGGGAAGTAGGCAAGACGTGTGTAGTTTGCAGTCACACTTTCTAGCTAGTCCTGTAGAGTTTTTTACTTGCCTGGACTCAAGATGGAAGAAATGGGCTGGGTTTGAGCATGTGTTTCCAGGAGGAAGGAAGGAGAATGGGTGGGGGTATAGTAATCACTGTTAAGGAAATGGGAAATTTGGACAAGCAGCTGGGGTTGGTGACCTTCTGCCTTAACGGGTCCTTTTAGACAGAAGAGGAGCAGGCAATATGTGCAACTCATGCACTACAACATCAGGGTTTAATAACTCCTTGTCAGAAGGATTGAAGAGGTGTTTGGGGATGGGGTGGGACGGGAGATGCTTTTCCAGTGTGTTTATATCTATAATGGGATTGTTTTATATCTTACTAATAAGTGTTGCTCTCTTCAGTACAAGTGCATTCAATCTTAGTAATATAAAATTGAGAATTTCATTTGCTTCCAATTATCTTTCCTCCCATATTCTGTCAGCCTTTCAAGAATGAAGGCGTTGTTACTAAAAAGGATGTTACATAAGAACCATTTCTTAATCACTTTCATAACTTCCACTCTTAAAAAAATCACTTATTCATTGCTGCTGGTGTTGGAATCATTGCTTTACTTTAGTTTGCAGATGTTGTATTACATTATAAAGTGTGTGTGTAAATGCAGCTTTTATTAGATAACACAAGACAGTTCAGTTTTCATTTAGAATAATTGTTTAATGTTGAGGCTAATGTAGTAAATATTTCCTGCAAATGAGGAAAAGATTACTATCTAAATCTACTACCATATTATTTAATGAAGTTGGAGATACACTCTAAAGATGTAATTAAATTTAATTTGCTGTTAGAATAATGGGAGATTGTCTTTTATGTGATACTAGTACTATTGTAGTTCATTCCTAACTATTCTAAATTCTAGCCAATTTCGGGTGGTGGTGGTTTGGGGGTTGATTTTGGTAGAGGAAAAAGAGGCCCTCCTACAAAAAGAGCAAAAGCAGTCCCAGAAATACCTGTCGGGAGTACTTTCTGTCTGAAGATTGCAAATACTACAAAAATACTGCACTTCTTGTGAGTATTTTGGAAGTATTACCCTGGGGAGAAAACCGTTTGCCATACTGAACTAGTTCAGTTCCCCCAGGAGTACTACTTTCCTAGAGGTTACTCGCAAAACCTGCCCTCATATTCTTTGCTGGCCCACTCTCAGGTTGCTCTTCTCATCAGTTTGAAACTTTCAGTACCCAAATACAAATAAAGAAGCTTGGGGAGATGAACACTTCATTGTGCGAACTTAGGCAAAGGTTTTCCCTGAAGGTCAATTTGTGCAACAAACAAAAAATGAAGGGCTTTTCTTTTAAAGCAGTTCTCGTACGGGATAAGATCATAAACCCCCACAGGCAGCGTGGGGTTTAGTAACAGGAGCTTATGGAGCTTCTTAAGACAGTATTGAAGTTATTCATATTTAGTCTAATTACCATAAGCAAACAAACAAAAACCCCCATAACAGTTCTAAAGAGAGGCTAATCTATGAAACTGTTGTTGAGGTTTTTAGTAGAACAATTTGTTCCTGGATCTTAATTAAAAGCGCTAATTAGTTTAATTAGAATTGTAAAAGTTTAATTATAGTGTTTTGCAATACATATCAGATGTTTTCAAACGGCAAATTCAGATTTGAGGTGGTTCCGTTACTAACTTCTGAGAACTAGCTGTTCAAACAACAATCAAATGTGATTTTTTTTTTAATTTTTTTTTTTAAAGATTCTATAATTCTATGCAACTTTAACGTAAACTTTCTAGCCTAAATTCTGTCTTTCTAAAATATTTTAGGTGTTTTGTATTCTAAATTGAATCATGAACCATTTGTCTTTATGCATAAACTGTCAATGAACTGGAAAATCTTTGAATTTTTCAGATGTGTGTTAGAGCTCATTATTTTATTTCTTCTCTTTTATAGCACTCTTTCAGCCAGTAGCTGTAGGATCTCGAGAATTTGAGGATGTTGTGAAGATTCTACATTCATCTTACTTGGAACCAAGTTCGGTGTCCAATTTTAATTACAAGAGAGCCAGCTTAGTTCATAGTGAACTGTTGGAAAAGGAAGTGAGTACATTTGTGGTTTCTCTATGAATAAGGTACAAGTCAAAGGAAGTTTCGTGTTTGCTCTGAGTCTAGAGGCAAAGACCTGGAGATTATTTTCTACTTATGTGCTTGATGTTTAATTGCAAACTCACATCCCCCAAAATGCAAGCAACTGTTTTTCATGCAGGTTTATTACTGTGTAGACATAAAATCTTGCCTGCCAGATACTCAAAAAACACTAAAAAAAATACTGTATTTGGCACCACTTGCCTCTGTGCATTTTCAGTTTCCAAAAATTTTCTTAATTTTAATGTATTTTTAATTACCTGGAAAGATGTTATAGTGTCTTATTTGAAGGGCCTGATGCTTCCTCTGAAACTTAAGATTAAAATATTTTTCTGATGCTGTTTACCAAGTCTCTGTAATATTGTTGTTTTCTGAAGTACCTCAGAGCTGATTACTTGAACTAGTAAGTGGAGCAGCTTGTTTGAAACACTTCTGCTGTACCTTATCTGATGCCTCTTAAATCCAGCCTTGGCTTTCTTTGATAACGGTGAAATAAGTTTTCAGTCCCAGTGCCAAAAAGCTTCATGTATGGAGTAATCGAATATATAATTGGTTTGCTATAATTATGATCTTGAAACTATAAGGTAAACTCTGAAGCTCTTTTTTTTTTCTTTTTTTTTTGCTACTGTAACATTTATGATTCATGGTTACAGCTAAGGAGTATTGCAGCTGATGAAAACCACCTTTGTACCAGTGAGGTGCAACTCCAAAAGTACATGCACAACATAAGAGATAACGGTCTGTCTCCTAAAAAGAGAAAAAGGCTTATTTCTGGAATTTCAAAGGCATTGAGCTGGATGTTTTTGATAGTTATGCTACAAAAATAACACTAAAACATTAATGCACAGGTTTGAAGAGCATCTCTTCGTTTAAAAAAACCCCAAGCAAACAAAGAAATATTTGGGCAGGTTAAGCCAATGATATTTCCCATGGGTATAGTGTTTTTGAAATGTAATTTTAGCATACTGTAGTCTCATTCAAATTATCTTTTGATTGCTTTTGTACGCTTGAATCTGCTAACATAGATGGGACCTTAAAAGTTTGACACTTGAATGTGACAGCAGTAATCTGTCTATGTGTGTTAAGAACTCTGTAATAATAGTTCACAGAAAAACGCAGAGAGCTGAAATTTGATGGTCGCCTAGAAAAAGAGCTTTCTGAAACTTACGCATTTCTGATGGTTGATCGATCTCAGGTAAGAAAATGCATATAAAATGCTTTCTCTTCTTTTTCAGTTAAGAGGTTTTGGTGTTTTTTTTTTTTTTAAACTGAGTGTTTTTACTGGCACACTTACTGATTCGTAGGGTATTTTTGCAAAATTCAGCACTGGAAAGTGTAGAAGGATGGGCAGGAGATGCAATATTATGTCAGTGTTTCAATTCTTTATTCTCTCCTATATAAGGTGCTCCATTTACATGTCTGTAAAGTAGCTCCTCTGGTTTAGGCTCTGTTTTATAAATAAAAAGATAGATTTTATGGATGGCATGTGGGTTTTTATTGGTTTTGTGTTTGTGGGTTTTTTTTAATTGAAAAGGAATGTCATGTGTTTTCATAGCAGTTGGTTTTTAGTGTTTTTTTGTTTTGTTTTTTGATTGGGTTGGGGTTTTTTTTGAGTAAAGAAGAGGTTACCTTACAGGAGAAGGTAACCTATAATATTAGAAAATGGACTTTATCTTCTGTGTCTCGTCTTTGATCATATGTTTTTAAGGAAAGTGATAGAAAGGGAGTTTCTGTGCTTTTTCTGCTATTGTAGAGCCAGGATTTCTTAAGTACTCAATCATTTGGCAGGTTTACTTCTGCTTTGTGTGTTAAAAGTAATGTTCATAAAGTGTGTTTAAGGTATGGGGAGGCTGGTTTTTTTTTTAAGATACAGGTGAGTCTGTGTAAGTGCTTTGTACTGAGAGTTTGACTTGCACAGTTTGACAGTTTATATAGCAATTCAGACTAGTCTTACCTCTGGGTGGTTTTGTTTGTAAGGGTTTTGTGGTGTGTGTGGTTTTGGTTTTGTTTTTTCTTTTTTAGCTAAATCAAAATTCTGTAATAATTGTTTCTCGCTGTTTGTTCTGTTCAGATTCTGACTTTCCTGATAGACTTGCTTAAAAAAATGTCTGTTCTCTTCAGATCCAAAACATATGTGAAAAGGGGCTGCAGGTGGGCCACTCCAAAATAACGATTCTCGGCAGCCCTTCCATGGGTAACTACCTTTTGATTATATGTGCTGGTATCATTCAGTATGAGTTGGCAGATAATGTGATGCAGTTGTGTAAACTTTCAGTCCTTTTTCTATCGCTTATTGCAAGAACATCACAGCTAGGTATTTTTAGCAATGGAGATTGACATCAGAACATTATCTCATAACTCTGTTTTTGACTAGTTCATTTAAATTCTTTTCCCAAAGGGGAGACCTGATTCTCATTTTGGCTTAAGTCAAACCGATATATCATGTTTTCCCAGTAAAATTAGGAGGCCAAAGAACTAACGCAAGCTATGGCTGTGTGCCTCTCTGTGTTTGTACATACATATATGCATGTACATGCATTCAGAAATACCCAATGAAAATAGTAGCTCAGCTTAGTATCGATGTAGATAGAACTAAAGTTGTTGAATCCACAAGTCCAAGAAGAGCATTGCTGAATTGCAGACTTGGAAGAGTCACAAGGTGTTAAGAGATTTGAAAGAGGACAATGCAAAGTTCCTTTTGCAAAGCTTTTTAAATAGAAAATTAAGAAATAATTTTGTCATCCTCTGTAAATGTAACACGATACAGAGGTGCTAATACGAATGTTGAAAGCAGAACAGATGCGGGGGGTGGGGAATAAAGGTATACGAGCATATAATTTTTTACTGTTTTAGTTGGTAAAGATTCTGGAGCAATTTATTAAAGCAGTTAAATACAGACTTGGAACCTAAGCAAAATGGGTGCTTTCCTGAGTACCTGAGTTCAGTTACAGTTGGTTGATCTGAGGTAGCCAGCTAGACCAACAGATGACAGTGTGTGTTTGAGGCCTTCAAATCTATGAAATTATGGTTGAAGTGTTGAAAAGAGAGAAATTATTTTACCTTTCACTTTGAGTGTCAATTCACAATTCCAAAACAGTGTATTTTTGCCAACACTGTAGGATGAAAGGTTGCTGAGGATGCCAGTGTTTTCCTGCCTTATTTCTCAATCATACCTTCACTGCTTATCTCCCCATTGTGCAATGGGACATTCTACAGAAGGAGCTCAGCTGTTTAAATAAACACCTGAAAGCAGTATCTGTGTAGCCTTTAGGCAGGGCTTGTCCTCTTGGTCACAAGGCTTTCAGGAATGTGGGTGTGCTCCTTTCAAACTGAGCTGGTGTGTGTATTCCGCTGTGGTGTTTCACACTGCAGTTGGTGCAAATAAACATTTATTCTCCTGTCTTGAAGGTGCAAATTGTGAACATGCCCTTCCACCTTTCTCTGATCATACTCCAAAAAGATTGTTGTATCTTTATTGTGTGGTATACGTTGAGCTTTAATCCCATGTAATGGCTTCTTAAACTTCTAATAATGTTTTAACATTCAGCATAATGTGTTGGGTTTTTTTGTATACTCCACTCAGGTGTGTATATCTCCAGGTATGCTGATTTATTGCAGCCTAATCCCCTAGAAGCTGGAGCAACTGGAGATGTGATTGTTTTTAAAATAATAAAGGTAAATGTTGCTTATTCCTGAAGGATTATATTGCTTACTGATAAAATAAAGGGGCTTTAAACCTAAGTTATTGAATTCCATTTACACAATTATCTGCTTTTAGACAAACTAGAACCCTACCAGATTTGAAATCCAGTGTTGACACTGAGCTTAAATAAAGCATAACAAATTTTTATAAAAAATCTGGTTTTCTTTGAAAGTATGAAAATAATGTACTTCTGTAAATGGCTTTTTTTTTTTTTTAATGGCCTGTTTTCATTTCCCTGCTCTTACTTCCTTTGGTACCTGACCCAGTTTGCCAGTTTTCAGGCAAAAAGCTTATGCTTAAAATTCTTCTGCTTTATTACAGGGAAAAATGAAAAGCATATACGACCACATTGGTATGAAAGCAATGGAATCAACAGTGAAGAGTGTGTTAGATCCAACACCAAAGCATGAGTGTCATGTTTCAAAGAATGCAAATAAAGTAACCTCCTTGTTGGCTTATCGAGCCTATGAACTTACTCAGGTAGAGGAAAGTTGAGCATGTGTTAACTTCTTATATAAGAAATTTAGAAACAGAACTTTGGAAATGATGGCGATAAAATAACAGAAGATATAACAAATACTGAGCATGTCCTGTAAAGCTGCAGTCTAGTGTATGCTTAGCAGTAGCCCACAGATGTCTGTATTAGATATTACAGCTCCCGATTCCCTTTCCTACACCTGGACTTGATGGAGAAGATCTCCTTCAGATTAGGATGTAGGTGGAACAGGAAATAGCTAGGAAATGTACATGGGGACTGGAATGTAGGCTGGGGAGGAGAGGAGATAATATGTGGAATTTGAAGTGTAGAACTGGTTTGAAGTAGAACTGGCTACTGGGTATTAAGTGAGACTTCTAAAAGAGAAAACATTGGCTAGGAAAGAACAACATTCCCCCCCCCTTTTTTTTTTTCTTTTCTTTTTTTTTTTTCTTCTTTCGTTTCCCTTACCAAATTGTCAGGTTTGGAGATGGTGAGGAAGGAGAGATTGGAATCAGTTCCAGGCACCTCTGTTTCTCCAGCTGTTCCATCTCTGTTACTGCAGTACTCTGTTGCAGTCAGGGTATTCCATCAAGTCCATAGATTTTGGGATACTTACTTGAAAGCATTCTCTTCAGTATTACAGCTTCTTTTTGATTTCTGTAAATCGTACCCAGAGCTGGGTACTGAATCAGATGGCTAGAAAATGAATGTGTGTTTTAATTTCTCATTACAAACTTGCCTTAATTTACATTTTTCTTTAATATTAGAATTTTGTGACTGAACTAAGGATGGACTCCAAAATGCATAGCCATATTTACTTTTCTTGGTGAATTTTTTGGGGGCGGTTTGTTAATTGTCACTTATCAAGAATATACTTTCAAGTAAATTATTTTTTCATTCTTGATTAGCTCCTGAGGTAGTGTCTGTCCTGTCAGTGTTTGATAAAGGAGAGAGGAGAAGGTGAAAAAATACCTTAATTGATTGTGTTATAAAGTACGTATGAGAACAGCATTTAAAAGCTTCCTTATTTTAGGTATCAGATTTTGAAGGAGTAGGCTGCTGGTGAAAGGAACATAAATGTTCCTTTTTGCTACTTGCTATTTATTACAGTAACTTATAACTTGTTTTATATACCAGTTAATGTTTGGCATAAATTGTCACTTACAAACTCCGTTTGTTACTCCGTTTGTTAAATAATCATGAGGTATATTTGTAAGCTATTTCTGTGAAACAGAGTATACCTTTCAGTGAAGCAAGGTCATGCATTGTTAGTATATTTGCAAAATGCAGTTTACCAGACTTGTAATTTAACATTGTGTTCACTTCTTTTTCTAGTACTATTTTTATGAATATGGCTTTGATGAGATAAGACGAAGACCAAGACATGTTTGTCCTTATGCTGTGGTTTCATTTACTTATAAAGATGAAATGGTGCAAGTACCAAAATTCTTGCCCCCGTCAAGGTAAGTGAGGAAATGAATTTAGGAAAGACTGCATGCAGCATGAAGAATTCATAGTTCTTGGCAGTAACTTAGAATTGATTTAGATGAACAGTGCTGAAGTGAATAGACATGTCACAGGGACTTAGCGTAATATATACTTCTAAAGCAAAGCAAGAGGTGACAAAATTGGTTTTATGCAGCAGGCTGGCCCCTGTAGGAAGCAGTTCTGCTGCTCTTTTCACCTACTCGCCTTCTGCAGAGGTGGAATCCCTGTACAAAATGGTTTTTTTTGCGTAACTGAGAAAATTCACAGAAGTAAAAGTGTTCACAGCATTATCTTGCTTAGTATTCGAAAAAAAATGTTCTGTGTACTTTGTCACTGGACTCTTTGCTGGTGTTGTCTCATTGCTTGTGGAGAGAATATCTAAATGGGGAGTTGATTATAGATACCTATGGTGATAGGAAGGCATCCAGATGTGGGGACTGCACTATGTAGTGCTAAAAATAGTTATTAAGATATCTGAAATAGCACAAGATGCTGCAGCGGTGATAGCTTGAGGTTAGAGAGCAAATTATCAGTGTTGTTATTTTGTTAGACTCGTAAAATATCCTTAATGTAAAATTTAGTAGCCAGAGGCTTCTGTCTCAACCTAGTCATTCTGTCTTTTTTCTTTTTGTTAGATCAAACAGCTTCAACACAGATAGAAGTACAGGTAAGAATGAATTGAAAGATACTGCTTTTATGATATAGACATGGAAGGTTTTGGATATTTTTCCCCTTGTAGTTTTATTTGTCTTTAAGTGGAATGATTGCTTAGTTATGCACACTGTATACCTGAGTGTTGTCCTGTACCATACTGATTGCAGGCATCTCTTCCTGATACTGGATGATCAAACAGACACCTCAGTGTGTGTCGTCTTTTACCAGAAAATAGCAGAACTGAACAAAATCAAGCCTTTTTTTCCCCTCCCTTTCTACTTACTGTGTAATAAGAACTTTTCTTCTGTTACTGAATCTGCTGTTCAGTGGCACTTTAAATAATATGATCCTCTGTCCTGCTTTTCTTTTGAGCCTCATTCAAGCAAAATACTAATATGTATGGAAGTGGTTGACAGTTAAGGTAAGGGAAGAGGCTATCTTTCCACAGATGCTGGCATCAAGGGCATGCTTATATAGGCAGGTACAGCTAATGTACCAACCTCCTTTATTCTGCTCAGAGCAGTTCAGAACAAGATAGGATTGTAAACGCCCTCTCTGTTACCTTTTAACTTATTATTTAACATATTATTGTCTGCTCTGGTATTAGTATAAAATTTTTTTGTAAATTGCTTTTGGAGATTCAGCAGCCTCTTTACTGCTATTTCCTTTTAGTCCCACCTAGCAAGTGGTTTTACCTAGTCTTTCTTTCTCCATCTTAATTTAGATAAATCTAACTTTACATTATGGAGGGGGCAGCTTTGGAATAGAGGCAAACTTTTGTGCCACGTTTCCTTGAAATCAGCAGCACGTCCTTTCCTTCCATGCAAGCTGTGAGTATTACCATTTAAAGAATAAGTTGAAAGAGTTTTGACACAGCAATATTATCTAGTAAAGACTGGTGAATTTTGGATATATTCAGATGAAAATCTAAACCACATATTGACTGGATGCTTTAAATGTGTCAGACTAGACTCCTGAGTCGTGTGCATCCAGAGTTTCTTTTAGTTCATGCACACAACTCTCTCAATATCTCTTTTTGTTGTTTGTTTGTTTTTCCTTTGAAGTGACACATTCCTTTGCAGGAATAAACACCGCTGGCTCAGGAGATAGTCCAAGGAACTGCTTTTTAAGAGGGTGTATTTCATAGTTCTTATTTGTTCAATGAGGGTAGGACTATGGGGGGGGGGGGGAAGAGGTCTTTATTTTTTTTTTTTCCCTCCCTCCCCCTCCCCTTCACCTCCAGTCCTGAGAAGCTTGAGGTTGAAAAAGTTGTGAGCATTGATCAGTTGAAGAAAAAAGTTTCACCAGCGTTGTTCTATAAAGAAACTTACCTAGGAGCAAAAGAAGGTAAATAGTTATAGCTTTTTTTAAAAAAAATTCAGAATTTTAAAAAGTTTTCTGAATTATAATTTTGTTTCTGTTTTTCTTACCTTCTCTTTCTACCCTTGTATCATGTCAGTGTTGAAGAACGGCATGTACTGTAGCCTTTATGAAGTTGTGGAGAAGTCCCGTTCTGGTAGTCACTTGGAGGGTTTACTTCAAAAACTAGAGAAAGAGAAACTTGTGAGTGCAACAGATTTGCTTTTCCTGTTTTTAAAAATAATTTAAATATAAATTACTAACTATAGTAATTGAAGCATACTACAAGATCCATGATCTTGCTGGAATTCCTTAGCTGGCCACTTCTCTACCCATGAGGGAATTTAGCTTACAGACAGTAAGAGCATTCATAGTGAGCAAATATCTTTTGATTGTTTGAAACGGTATACTTTTTTTTGCTTGAAAACAGGTTCTTGTGAAACCACTTCTGGACAGAGGATTTCTTTTTCTTCTTTCTCCTTGGCAAATGATGTCCCCTTATGGTATGCATACTCTGGGTTTTTTTGTTTTGAGTTGGTTTTAGATTTTTTTTTTAAGGGGATTGGGTTTTTTAATACTTTTGAAGCATAGTGGTCTTCTTCTCAGCTCACTTTATTTTCTTGTGTTCTAGACCACCAAATTGGACGGTCCCGCATGCTACATGCGTTATTTCTGTTTCCAGAACCTAGAGGTATAATGAGCTCAAGTAAGTTTGTTCATTGTTGAGTGTTGTGTACGTGTTTATTTAAATGTAGTTTATATTCTGTTGAAGGCTTTGTAGTGTTATAGCCTGTAGTGTAAACTAGGAATTAACAGTTTGCATCGGTTATGGTAATGGTGTTCAGAAAGTGTTTATTTCTTCACAAAAGTAATTATCACACTACATAGTTTACGTTTCTTTGTTCATATTTTAGAAAGTAAACCTGTTCAAACTTCTTGACTGTATATTCTAGTAGAACTGAACATCAGTATTCCAAGAGATCTATGCATTAGTAATAACATTGCACTTCAGAGGTTTGAGGGCTTTCTTTAACCATCAAAATATCTGACAGCCATGAATGTACCTGTAATTAATTTTTTGCACTGGGATATGCACCAAAACCTGAGTAAATGAGCAAAGAAAATATGGATGTAACCAGGTAATAAAAGATGACTGACAGGCTTTAGTAGAACTTCAGTGCTTTGGGATGAGACTTTAAAGTTAATCTTTTACAGTTGAAATTTGCAATAAGTAGCACTAGGAGAAGAATGCAGTCCTTTTTGGCCTGATGTGAGTTAGAAATGATATTGTCAGAGCATAGCTCTTTCCAGGCATTTCACTTCTACAAAGAAGTTCTTGGCCTAAGTCTTGGCAGCTTCCCAGATTCTTATCTCTGTATTTCTTATTTTAATAAACCTCTTACTTTTTTCTTATTTAAGTAACAAATGTGAAAATTCAGCCAGTTATAGATTGGGTAAGAGGAGATACGATGTAAGATGACATTTAAAGTGCACGCATGCCAGCTCCTTAAAAAGACTCCAGTTCTTGCTGCTGTGACATTTCAAAGACTTGTGAGGTCCAGTTTCTGCCAAACACAAGGTTAATCGCTGGTTTGAGTCTTCAGAGGTGCTTAAATGGTTGAATGGAGAAAAGTTTCAGTCTGTGATTGGAAGGAGGAAAGACTGTGAATAAATAAATAAAAGAAGGCTATAACTGAGAGCTTTCTTGAGCTGCTGTTTCAAGGATGTGGTAAAAGGATCTAACAGCTTCTCAGACAGGGAAATCCTGCTCTTGGCACATGCTTCTGTTGCATCTCTCTGATTTAGTGAGTTGTATTGCTTTGCAAAGGAATGGAAAAAAACTATATAGGTTTCTGCTGGGTTACTAAGCTGAATAATTTTATAAGGGCCCAGTGAGCTTAGAAGCAGCACAATGAGTGCATCGGGATTGCGTAGGAAGGAGTAACGCTTCCCCTGTTTCTGCAGGGAGCTGTTAGGTTGCTTCTTAGTAAAACCTTAGTAAGCCTTTGAAGTGGCCACCTTCTAGGAGGGTGGGTAAAGTGTTTTAAATTGGAAATGATATGTGTATCTAGGATGCAGGTTAGCACAAACGTATGAAAATGAGTAGTTCATCATGACTATAAGTAGGTTGACTTTTAAGTAGGCTTTAAAGCTAGTTATTTCACAAAAACCCCTCCTTTCCTGGCTTTTGGGTTATTTCTCCACAGTCGTTCCAAACTGTGTTTCACCAAATATGTATAATACAGAGTATTGCTAACTAGTCATCATTTATTTATAGCTTCATGATTTGATTTTAATTGTGAATTCCCTTTTCTCCTATGGCAGCACAAAAAAGTGTTCCATTTGGAACACAGAAAAATTCAACTACCGTGGTGTTGCACGAAAATCAGGAAATCATTCCAGAATTCACAAAGTTTATTCAGTCTCTACATTTTGCTTTAATCCAGTCTCGTAAAGACGCTACTGCAGATTTCAATGCTGTTGTGGAAAGGTATATAAATGAGTATTTGAAAAGATGCTGTAGTGGCTCTGGAAACTATAGAGAATTTGTATTATATCGGTATGAATCACGGTTGGATGACAAAAAATTTCTTTATTCTGCTCCAAAAAATAAATCTCATATTGACAGCTCCTTGCAAAACTATATTTTTGGTTGTGAGGCATATCAACTACCTGTTTCTAGAGCTAAGGAACTGATGGAGAGAAATCGGAAACTTCAACAGTTCAGTCCCATCTCAGACTATGAAGCCACAGAAGAAGACTCTGATTTTGCCAATGCAAAAAGCGGGAAAAGAATCCGTGCAAAATATGAAGCCACTGCTGCCAAGCAAAAACTGCCTCATTCTGGAGATTATGATCCCGATAGACTCAAAGAACTTATTAACTTAATCCAGTGTAGGAAAAAAAATGTAGGTGGAGATTCTGATTCTGAAGACCTTAGGAATAAAAGTGGTCTGAAAAGGAAGCTGGAAAAACAGTCTGAAAATTTGCGGAAATACTTAAAAATGAGTGAATCTTCAGAGAACAGCTGTCAGTACGAAGGTAAGTAAATCTTTGTTTAGAGTTACTCTTTAAACATTGTAATTCAGTGCATGCTTAACATTTAATCTTTATGGATTGAATATTTTTTGCACACTGTGGATATTTTAATGCATGGTGGTTCATTTAAACATTGGCCTGATATCTATCAATAGAGATGTAGTGTATTTTTACGTAGGTTGCCTCTTTCTAGAAAACAAGTTACCAGAACTTGTCATAGAAGCTGCTTTTGTTCTACCTCTTCGGAGAGAAGGTGCCAAAGAGTTTCTTTAGCTGTGGAACTGTCCAAAGACTTTCCAGTATAGAGTACTAAGCAGAGTTGATATTGTAATGCCTTTTGCAGAGTTTGACTTTAGGCATTGCTGTAATTCTTTGTGGCTCCAATACCCTATGTAATATGTAATGAATTTAGATTGAAGGGGAGAATTAAACTTCTAAGCATAAGCACAGTTAATTTTTGAAATAGCCAGTAATGTGTGCAGTGAGACAAAGGAAACAACCATATAGTATTAAGATTAAATTATTCTTTACATGAAATTATCTACATCCAAACCTCAGATAATTATCAGAGATATTATCCGATACTTACTTAAGATGTGCCAAAAAAACCCTTTAATTTCTGTTTCCCTGACCCTTTTCTCAAGGGCCTCCTTCAGAAGGGGGAAAACTGGGAATAAGGGTGGTACAAAGAAGAGGGGAGGTTCCATCTAGCACCAGTTTTTCTCATGTGTACGTGGATCGTTTTGGAAGATAAAGTGGAATTGGTGTTTTGGAAGCTGATCTTAGGAAGAAGTTTCCCTTTTGAGAGGGACAAAAGATACTGGCATGTGTGGATGGAGGAGACAGAGGGTAGGCTACATGCTAGATCTTGGGATTCCTGCTTGCATGTCTGTGAACCTTCAGGGTCTTTTTATGTTGATTGTTAATGTAAAATGTGTGAATGCATTTCCACCTGGCTGTAATCAGAACAGTATCTGTTTAAAACTAAATTTTGCCTTAACTCCCTCAGGCATACCAAAACAGTAACACCTATCTATGGTTTGAATGCCGTGTTTTTATATAACCCTAAAAGTAATTTGTTTGTCTTGAAAAAAGTCTTACCTAAAATACTGAGAGCTTAAGTAGCTAAACTGATTAGATTTCTATATAGAATAAATGAGTTAGGAGTTCATCAGATACTTAAAGTAGTTCCTTGGCCTGTCTCTTTCCAAGAAGAATAAATGTGGTATTTGCTCATCCAAGAGGGTGAGTAGAAGAATAATAACCCTCTTCTAAAGTTACATTTAGTACAAATAGGCATGGTAAAGTTTTAGAATTTACACTTAGTCTAAGATAACTTGTGAGGTTAAGGATTAAGATAGTCATCAGCTTCTGGAGCAACAGTGATAGGATGGAGAGAAGTATTTTGCTCAAACTAATCTTTTTCTCTTAACATTACAAGGTTTCAAAAAAACACGTAGATCATAGTATGTGACTTCTATTGAAACATAAAATAGCGTGGTATTGAGTGACCTAAAAAAGGTAATTATTTATTTGGGGGAGACTATTAACTTTAGAAACTGCCCTTTTATCAACATCTACCTGTTTAAAAGTTTTTGTTAAGAAAATAAATGTATATGTACTGTGTGAATTGATGCTAAAGAGCGAGACTGTGGGTATGTGGTAGGTGTTTGGGGGGGGTGTCTGGTTTTGCTTTTATTTTGAAACTTAGTAATGGATTACTTTTCCCCTTCTCCCCCTGCTCTAAGGGGGCAGAACCTCGGATTCGCCACACTCTGTTTTCTCAGTTAATACTGGTCTTGGTGGACATGATACTGACTTGAGGCAGCAAGATGTATCCGACCCCGCTGTTACTGACACGCATGGCCTCATTAAACTGCTTTTAGAAACACTAGCTAGTGCAGGACACTTGGATTCATCGTTGGCACGGTCTGTAAATCAAGCTTTAGGATTAAGCACTGATGAAATTGAAGAGGATATGAGACAAAAATATGAATATGAATCCATTCCAGCACAGGACAAAGATGATCATGAGCTTCCTAATACTGCTCAGGCTGAAAATGTTAACTTTAAGGACCCACAGAGCCCAGTGATGCTGGAAACTGACGTGGCATGCTTACCCTACCCAGTTGATGTTGATCTACGGCTTTCAGCTAATGAAGTAGGCCTTGAACACACGCTACGTTTAAAAGTAAGTGAAACTGCCATGTAGGTAGATGCTGATAATGAATGTAATATTTTCATAAATATGAGACTGAATGAAAAAAAAAAATCTATTTTTTTACATAGGTAAACATAGATAAGCACTAACTTTTCTGTGAAGAAGCTTTTCTGTTTGGTAGGAGCGTATATGGAAATTTTCTTATATCTTAAGGTGTGTGTTCCTGGTTCTTTATGTCTACTCTTTCTGTAATAAAATTATAATTAAGAATACCTGAAAGATGGAAAGCAACCACGGTCAGTCTTCCTCACTAGCTTTACAGTAAGTGTCATATGCAGCCGCTTTAGCAATAGGCAGCAAAATTTCTGTCATTCTGTTGCTGAGTGCTATATATGAGGGTGTTTTTTCATGTTTGCAGAGACCAAAGCCTTGCAGTTGTCTTCTGTCTCTTGCAGAAAAAAGATACTCTGTTCTGGCTCTCGGCTTGCTTATGGTGGTGGGTTTTTTTAGCAATCTGTGAAGTTATTGCATGGAACAGGTATAGTGGTACTGTAACAGTTTGCATACAGCTTCCCATCGTCCTCCTTCTGCAGGGGTGATTCTTGGTCTGGCTGGGGTACTGAGGTTTGCTGAACCTGAAACACAGTACGGGGAGATTTGAGAGTTCCTCATCACAGTTATTGCCTAGCTGTTACTCTTCCCAAAAATAGGTTATAAGGCAGTAGTTGCTGTTCTGTATGGACTCTCTCGGCACGGTTGCAGGAGAGGCCGTTAATGATTGTGTACTGCTTAGTCTTTAACCTTATAGACCTGATAGGTGGTTTGGATATGACAACTTGTCATAATTATGAAATTCCATCGCAGGCACAGAAACGAGCCTTTTTTTGACCAGGCTCCTCCCAGACCTAAATTGAGACCATCTCTTTCAAAGCTTATGCACCCAGAATTCTTCCCTCTTCTCCTCCCAAATGCAAATCAAAAATATATATATATCGGTTGTAGGCTGTATAATTTCCAGACTTTTTTTTGACCTGTTGCTTCCTTGCCATAAGTAAGAAAGTGAAAGAAGTCAAATTGTGATTTGTATTTGATATTTAGAGTTGGTTGGAGGTATCTTAAACAAGAATGTTTATCCACAGATGATCAATAGTTACTCTAGAGAAGCAGAGTGAGAGCTGTTTCCTTTTAATGACAGCTGTCTCTTCTTGTCTTGATAGAACAAATTGGCAAAACTAAGTTATTGCCTTTGGAAACTAAATGCGCTTTATGGGTTCTGGACTGTTACCTTGAAAACAAACAAAAAGCCCCAATGGCAACAGCGTACCTCAGCTGACTGTTTCTGTGTGTGTGTTAGAGACCTTTTCCTAGTGACAATACCTCAGGGTTAATAAAGCGATTCGTACTGCTTTACAATCATCAAGCATCCTTTTGCTCTAATTGCAGTTGTTGCTGTAGTTTTGGGAGTTGGTTTTGGTCCAGCCTCTTCCAAGTGTATTCTCTCTCCTACATAACAGTAGCAGGCATTTTATAGGGCAGGAGAATGCCCTTCACTTGTGTGTGCCAGTGGGGTCCTGCAGTCCTCATCTTTTGATCTTGTACTGTGGAAAAGATGATGGGCTTGTTTCTGTCCCTCTGGCAGAGTCTGAGTGAGAAAGCGTTCAGAAATGTGCATAGTGGAAAGTCTTAAATGCTCTATGGGTATTGAGGATGATGGGGAATTGGCTTTATTTAGTTTTGGTGGGAGCAGAGTTGAAAAATTCTGAGCACTTAAATGCATGCCTAGCTCTCTTTATGGGCCCTCTTGGTGCACTGGTGTGTATGTGTTCTCTCCATACTTTTCATCACAAGATATAACTGGCAGAACACCGCTTGAAGAAGGCTCTTGCACTCAAGGTTCAGAGTGCCTTGGCTGCTTGCTCGATCACATTATGCTACAGAGTGGTTGCTCTATGATCTCTGTTCTTCTACACAAAGCCCAGTTTCTGAGTCATGGAGCAGGAAAGAGTTTGTCCTACCTGTAATCTCTGTGCTGTTTTGCTTCTAACCATCTGGAACGTGGGATGAAATGGGAATGTTCAAGGGTTTAATACTAGTTGCAGGCAGTTCCTCAGTAATGCTAACATCTCATGGCTTTAGTCAGCTATCAAGACAACAGCCTGAAAAAGGCGAAGGAGCAGACAGTTTTCCTATTTCTTTTTTTTTCCCCTCTTTGCCTTCTTTCCTCCCTGTCCCACCTCGCTTCTGTACTCTAAGCATGTGCTCAGGACTGCCTTAATTATTTAATGGTAGGCCATCAGCAAAGACATCTGTCTCAGAAATTATCAAACAGGTAAATGAAATATATAAATACCTCATGTAAACATTTCCAAGTTTGACTTTACTTGATTGACGGCAGAATTCCCAATAGGCTGGTGAACTCTGTGTTCTTACTGTTAGCTGTTGAAAATGTAAAAGCTTAATAGCTACCAAAAACCAAAGTTTCGAGCTGAGAATTTTTATTGTTTTTTAGGAAGCAAACACTGGAAGTCTAAGTAGTTTTGAAGACTACAGCCCCTGTCCTAGTACACCTATAGAACATGTTTATCGCAGGCAACATTCCAACTCAAATAATATAGGAGAAATTGGAATGCACTGGAAACTTATTCCAATTACAGGTAAGATGGGTTTAACTCTTACGTTGCTACAAATAGTGAATGAAAACAGATTCTAAAGGTTTCTGTCTTTCATAGGTCCCATTCTTGGGTCACATGTTGGTACAGAAGCATATGTTTATGCTGCCTATGCAGTTGTTTCTGATATTTGATTAATACAGAAATCTCCTGGAACAAAATAGATGCTGGTAGAGAATATTGCTTTGGGTGCATACTGGCATAATTTAGAAATGTGAATGCTTGGGTATTTATGCAGTGAGGTAGGTAACTCTTTTGATTTCAGTGTTTGAATTTCATTGTTTGAACTTGCTACGTTCTACTAAAATATTGGATAGGCAGGTAATTGCAGCTGATAATCCAGAAAAGTAATGAAAAATGTGTTCTTACAGAAAGTAGTCTGCTTCTTACTGCATCAAGCTCTTCTACTGGAAGAGCTTTAAAGTCTTTGTCATATCTAAATATTTACATCTTAAATAATCTTACAGAAGAAGCTGCTGCTTCTACTTCTTGATGAGTCAAGTGTCAGGTCGTGGGAGAGCATAAAAACAAGGATTTGAAGGATGTGGAAACTGGGCTGTAGGAATAGTCATCAAGAGTTCTAAATTCGAGGCTACAAATCAAGTCATCTTATGACTAAATCTAGGTAGAACTTAACTGCATTCTCTCAGTAAAACCTTACTGGTTTCTGGTCGTGTTCCAGGAATGCTGGAATCTTTGTTTTGGACACTTCGGATATCCATCCAGTTATGTAGTTCAGCAGCTTTTTTGTTAGTTTGGTTGAGAAGGGAGGATGGCAGGAGAAACAGGTCTCCCTTCACGGTATTCATAAGCCTTTCAACGAAATGACAGGACAGTTCTGGGTAACATTTTCTGTACTTTCTTTAAGGGCCAAACATCAAAAGCCTGTTCTGATATTTTCCTAAGTTACAGAGTACGGAGACTGTAAAGTGGTTTGGATAGGACATTATTTCTTTCACTCCTGGAGGAAATGGCACTATGCGTATAAATGAGGATATGGTTGCATGTCAATTGACTGACATGTTGCACAGTCATCTGTGAGACTACAAATCTTACTAGAAAAAAATGTCTCTGAAGTCTTCTGAGCTGTTCTCTAGAGATGAAAGAGATTGTGTTGAGCATCACTGGATTTCTTGAGTTCCTACAAATTAGCTGTTACTGCAGTAAGTATTCATAGAATCATAGAAAGGTTAGAGTTGGAAGGGACCTTCAAGGTCATCTAGTTCCAACCCCCCTGCCATGGCCAGGGACACCTCTCACTAGACCAGGTTGCTCAAAGCCCCATCCAACCTGGCCTTGGACAACACCTCCAGGGATGGGGCAGCCACAGCTTCTCTGGGCAACCTGTGCCAGTGCCTCACCACCCTCAGAGTGAAGAATTTCTTCCTAATATCTAATTTAAATCTACCCTCTTTCAGTTTAAAGCCATTACCCCTTGTCCTGTCAGAACACTCCCTTGTAAAAAGTCCCTCCCCAGCTGTCCTGTAGGCCCCCATTACGTACTGGAAGGCTGCTATAAGGTCTCCCTGAAGCCTTCCCTTCTCCAGGCTGAACAACCCCAACTCTCTCAGCCTTTCCGCATAGGAGAGGTGCTCCAGCCCTCTCATCATCTTCGTGGCCCTCCTCTGGCCTCGTTCCAGCAGATCCACTTCCTTCTTATGCTGAGGCCCCCAGAGCTGGACACAGTACTCCAGGTATTGAGTAGCTCTGCAATATGGTCTGTAAAAGGTGCTATATAAATACCAAGAAACTCTACGAATGCTAACTGCTGCCCTCCTTCAGGAGGGGCAGGAATAGTACAAGAGGGTCAGATGGAAAAACATGAAGATAAGCGAACAGGTGAGAAGAGCGAGTGGGACAGTTCGCGTATGTTGTTATGGCCTGAACTACTGAGCAGCTCGTGTTCTCGCCTGGTATTGAATTTTCATCAGAGAATGAGACAGTAATACACTATTCAGCAAGTGGATTCGTTTTGTTGAAATACATCAAGGCAGCTGTAGGAAAGTCAAAAGAGCCTTTAATATTTTGGGCTATGGGCACTCGATTTTTACTTTGTGTATCCTCCTGTATCGTATCTTCTATAGGGCTTTGAATTTTTATTCTAGGAAATTAAGATCAATTCGGTAATATAATTTAAAGGAAGCTTTGTTCGTTTCTGAAACTGATTGCTTTCTAAATCCAGCGGCTTCTCCATGCCTCATTTTTGTAGCAAGTTAGCTGTAGAAAGGAATTCAGAGAACATCAGTCTTTTCTTTTTCATCTCTGCACAAATGAGCAATCTCTTGGGTTTTTTTCTTTTTAAACAAAAATATGTTTTACTTTTGATACAGGGATCATGTTCACAGAATCACAGAATGGTCAGGGTTGGAAGGGACCTCTGGAGATCATCTAGTCCAACCCCCCGCCAGAGCAGGGTCACCTACAGCAGTTGCACAGGACAGCGTCCAGGCGGGTTTTGAATGTCTCCAGAGTGGGAGACTCCACCACCTCTCTGGGCAGCCTGTGCCAGTGCTCCACTACCCTCAAAGTAAAGAAGTTCCTTCTCATGTTAAGATGGAACTTCCTATGTTCAAGTTTATGCCCATTACCCCTCGTCCTATCACTGGGCGCCACTTAAAAAAATACTGCTCCCATCCCCCTGGCATCCTCCCGTTAAGTACTTGTAAGTATTAATAAGATCCCCCCTCAATCTTCTTTTCTCTAGACTAAAGAGACCCAAGTCCCTCAGCCTTTCTCCATATGAGAGATGTTCCAATCCCCTAATCATCTTCGTTGCCCTTTGCTGGACCCTCTCCAGCAGTTCCCTGTCCTTCTTGAACTGGGGAGCCCAGAACTGGATGCAGTACTCCAGATGTGGCCTCACCAGGGCAGAGTAGAGGGGGAGGATGACCTCCCTCGACCTGCTGGCCACACTCTTCTTGATGCACCCCAGGATGCCATTCGCCTTCTTGGCCACCAGGGCACATTGCTGGCTCAAACTTACTCAAACTTCAGCTAAACTTACTTTAAGAACTTAACTCTTTATTGTTTGTGACTTGAGGGGGGGTGTCTTGCTTCTTCCCTGAGGACATCAGCAAGTGTTGGAGGAGATAGTTGTTCATAGGTGTTCGACTTGGCTGGGCTACTTCTGTATCGTGGTGGTGTTCATTTCTTTATGATTACATAGTCTAAAATTCTGACAATAGTAAGCAAACCTGAGTCTTATTTTTGAAAGCTAACTCAGTTTTGGTTTGAATTTGAGACTCTTCTTTGGCTTTAGATATAAAGTGCAAAAATGGCATTTGTTCTTGCTTGTTCTTCCTTCTCTTGTAAAGAAGATTAATGCATTAATAGACATTCTTAAATGTGATGGCTTTTGATGAAATTAAGCTTGGATATGAAGAAACAGAACGTTGGAGGCTTTCTTTGTCAGGTGGTGGTTGAATTTCTGATTTCAAAATCTACCGAAGAATCCTCTCTCTGGAATCACTGTTTAAGGACCTCTCTGAAACAGTGAAGAATTTGACTCTTAATCTGTAAGGATAAATATTTCAGCAGCTCTTAAACAGCTGTTCTTTCTAAGATTGTTTTCAGGCAGTTCTCTTTTGGGTTTCCTTGACATATCCAGTTACAGGGTACTACCAACAAAGGGTATGTTTGAAATCATAAATCATACTTAAGTAAACAGACACTTCAACAACTATTAATTTGGGGTTTGCTCTTTGCTTGTGCATTTATTTTTTGTGAAGACTTGTGACCCAAAGGTGTAGATCTATGAAGGATGCCACCTTTAGGGAATGCTGTTTAAATAAGGGTAACTTTAGGTTAAATAATCCTTTTATTTTTTAAATCCTGTTTACATGTTAGAAAATATTTTGCATTTATACTCATATTCAGCAGTATATCTTTCTGTTTACATTCTGGTTTACATTTTTTAATAAAAACCTTTAGTAAAAACAAAGGCTTTTGTTTTTAAAGCAAAGTTTCTTTCTTTTTGGAAAACTTTAAATAATAACCTTTGAAGAATAACCTAATCAGTTCTTAATCATATATATCTTGAAAACTTTTTTCCTAATATAATTGTTGTAGAAACTTTCCATCAAATCAGGATGAGTGGATGGTACATTAATTTTTTCAGTAACCTTGGGATTTGAATTTTTCCCTGTACTGGGGATGCAGACGGGAGAGCCACAGAACAAAATCTCATTGCTAAAAATTGGTATGCAAAGGATTAGCTGTATCAAAATGTAAGAAGTTATTAAAATAGCCCCAATTTTTAAAGCCATAGTATAGCTTTTAATCTTCTTACTCAGACTTGCTTATAGTACAGTGTTTCTTGATTACAACAGTGATGTAGCTTGTAAGGGCAGCTCAAGAAGAATGAGATACATAACATATTTTAAGTGCCTGGTCTCTCAAATGAGCTTAAACTAAGCTTATTTGTTAACATTATGATTTGGTACTGAGTTTTTCAAAGTAATTTAAAATTAATATACTTGTGTATGCAAAAGGTGTAGATCGACACTGAAGGTACAGGGCAACAGAACAAAGGTTCAAATAAAATAGCATGGAACTAATTGGAATAACCTGATTTATATCCGTGTTAGTGATTTTAAAGAAAACTTGAAATTTGGGTAGACTCAAAGGGTGTGCTTTGAAGGACAAAGAAAGAATATATAGTTTCATTCATAAGAAAAATAAAATGGAACCACATTTCTGGTTTCTCTGTAGAACTCGACTGGCACAAAGGTGATGTGAGGCAATACTGTCACCATGAAAAAGGCATCCTGTTAGTGACACGTGTTTTTTTTGGATCTGGATGGACATGATTAAATTAGGGACTGAATATAACTTTTTTAACTGGCTACAAAAATGACTGCAGTCCAAAAGAACACTCACTTTTAGAAACTGTCTATGCTATTTTGGTTATTGCTTCTGTTCAAGAAATCTGGTTTTCTGCTTACAACTGTACTAGCTTTAACACTTCAAAACAAAACAAAGAACTCAAAACCAACAAAAACCACTTCTTTGAAGTATTTATGGAACAGATAAATAGTGAAATACCTGTGTGTCTATATATATCATTGATTGCAACAAAGTGTTAAATTTGGTTTAAAAACAAACAGAGCCATAGTTTTGAATGTGGATGGTGAAGAAACTGAGTGTTGCAGAAAGGATCTGAGGTTTGCATTATGAGAGGCTTTCAGCACTCCTTGCAGCATAACTGATTCTGTTGCAATAATTACCATAAGACTTATGTCGTACATTTTTAAGCAAAAAAAATTATATTCTCAATTGTGAGACCAGAGATGCAGCTTGCAGTCTAACTCCACAAGGTCATGTGTGGCTGAAATAAGCCTCTATAAAGTCTGAGGATTCTAGCCTAGTAGCAAATGAAAATGTTCGAATAATTTGTCACCCCGCTTGATTTCTAATTTGTTTTTTTGTTGGTGGTGGTAATTAAGGTGGTTCCTGTTATGTTTAAATTGGATACTACCTCTGGGAAAATTACTTGTGTTCTGCTTTTCTGAGCAAACTTTGATGTTACTGTTCTAGGAGCGATTAAAGTGTCTGTGCTTCTGTACCTCAGCAGACAGTAACACCTGAGTCGTTCGATTTGATTGGAGGGGGGAGGCACAACAGTAGTGCTGTTTTAAAACTGTGCTTTGGAGATTTTAGTGTATCAGTTGTGTATGACTTTCAAACATGAGATGATGATGATGATTAACTCTTCCTATATAGGTCTGAAATCACCAGAAGAACCACTGGTGCATTTACCGCCAAAGGACGCCTTCCCTAATGACCCCCGGGTAATAAATAGACAGAGAAGTTCTGATTATCAGTTTCCATACTCTCCATTTTCAGACGCACAGAAGGGAACAGCAGAAGATGGACTTTATACACGACAAGTGGAGAAACTTGAAGATCAGTGTGGGCTAGCAGATCACCCTTTTACAACTAAGCATTCCATTAGTGCAATAATAGAGACTACACTATTAGAAGAATATAATCTCTTTGCAAGAAAGATTCAGGAAATTTTGCAGCAAAAGAATATTGCATATGTTAGTGGTATGTCCACACCAGTCTTCTCTGCCCGAGAGAGGATAATGAGACTTTCTGAATACATATGTTTACAGGCATCAGAGATTTCTGTCCAAGAATATATAGAGACACTGAGTGAAAAGTTGAATAGCGTTATTTTGTCCTCTTCGTGCATTCGACATACTCCATCAATTTATTCTAGTCCTGAATCAGCAGAAGTGGTTAGTAACGCAGCACTGAATCCTGCACCCGACACCGTACCTGTTTGCAGGGACTCTGACATGGCATTGTTATCAGAGCCATTGTGTAATAACGTGGTGGAAGATCTGGATTCTAACGAGCAGCGTTTGTCAAGCTTGCCTTTAGTGAAGGAGGAAATGGATCATGTGAATGCTAAAATGGAGGATATGCTGACGTCTGATCAGACCTCTTCCAGTGGTGATCTGATGGAGCCACCAGAAAAGACACAGAAATCCCCAGAGAACTTAAACATTTCAACCCAACCAGCCCTTTCTGATTTTATAAGCCAGTTAAAACCTGAAGTATTTAACAGTTTGGTCAAAATTATTAAAGATGTACAGAAAAACACTGTGAAATTTTATATTCATGAAGAGGAAGAAAGCATTCTCTGCAAAGAAATCAAGGTAAATGTGTTCCAGTTCAACCTTTCTTTAGTGTTAAAACAGAGTGCCTTTCAAATCAGAACGTATAAAACTGGACTCGGAAACATAAGGTAGTCTGAAATTTGTTTCAGAAAATGTTGAATTGTGAAAGTAGGCTGCCCTGTCCCATTTCTCGTTTGAGGTTCTGAGGTAGTCTTGCTTATATTTAGCTTTTACGTAAGTCTTTTTCTCATAGCTGGAAAGCAGAACAGGCTGTAGTTCGATTCTTTCTGAAGCTACTGCCGGGGGGTGGCCTTACAGCAAAAAGATGAGGGCAAAAATGTGATAGCTTGCCATTTTAGAAAGAGTATATGGAAAGTTGATGTGTGGGGGTTTGGTTCTTTTTTCCCCCCTTTCCCTCCAGTTAATAGTACCGGTAACTTTTGGAGAGTACTGTTCTTCTGTATTTAAATGTATATGATGAAAGTGAAATAATAAAATCTTCTCGCTTTACTTGAAAACTCATGCAGTTTTGCTAGACTGTCAGTTGGCCACTTATGCACAATTCGGTAAGAATGACTGAAACAGCCTATTTCTGGGTTGCTACATTCTTCCAAATAACGTATCGGAAAGACAAGGACACCTGTCTCTCTGATTCATTTGAATGGGATACTTAATGCGGTCATCATGTGGGGATTCACTATTCCATTTTTCTTCACCATCTTCTCTTTCTGTGGCGTTAGGAGTATCTCACCAAGTTAGGTAATACAGAGTGCCATCCAGAACAGTTCCTTAAAAGAAGAGCTGATTTAGATAAACTGTTGATAATTATCCAAAACGAAGACATCGCCAACCTCATCCATAAGGTATTTCACATAAGTAAATGCGTACTACAGAAAGCTACTGTTAAAGCGTTGTGAGACGAGCTCATTTTGAGCAAGGCCACTTCCTCATAACAACACAGCACTTAAACCATGTCCTGTGTTTAGTTGCCGTTTGAAGAAATAAAAATGGTTGTGGTAAATGCCCTCGTCTTGTTACATCGTATATCCATAACCTCTTGCCCCTCCACATACATGCTAATGCATATTTATTCTTAGTAGCTGTAAAGTTGTACAAAGGCCTGAGGAGTTCTGCTTCTAGTTCCGCGGCGCTCTAATGGCAAGGGAGGGCAGCTGTCAGATCGCCGTAGGTGTTGCCGACAGCTGGGCTCTGTGAACCTGTGCTGGACAGAAAGTAAAATTCTTCTAAGTGCTCAACTTCCACTGTCTCATTCCTGTAATGTTTTTGAGAGAGCACTTCCCCAGGCACCAGGAAAAATAATAAATCTTTGAAAATGTGTTTTGAAGTTTGACATTTGGTATTAAGTAGGAAAGTTCTGTAGGTCTTTTTCTTTTTTGTATGATCTTTGGTATACATCTCTGACTTACAATATTTCTAAACAGATTCCTGGCTTAGTAACTTTGAAGAGGCTTTCTTGTGTCAGCTTTGCGGGTGTTGATAGTTTGGATGATGTGAAAAATCACACGTACAACGAATTGTTTGTGTCTGGTGGTTTTGTTGTGTCAGATGAATCTGTCCTTAATCCAGAGTCCATCACTATAGGTAAGTCTGGTGTTTTCTGAAGCTTTAAAACAGACTAAAAAAAGCCTGACATTTTAGTATATGAGAGAGATGCCATACTCATCGCAGTGAAGAATCAATCAAGTCTTCTAATTTTCAAGTCTTCTACCTATTTTTTGTGATTTTTTTTTTTATTTATTTATTTGAGAACTTCAGCAAATTCAGTCTCTTTCTTACCTCAGTGGGCTTTTTGGAGAACATGTTTCTGGGGAATGTGTGAACTTGGAGATCTTGGCTTGTCTTTCTAAGTTTATGTTAGATTGTGTAGTTAGTTATGTATATAGAACCTTTTATTCCTTACTACTCAATCCACAAATATGCTAGGAAAAAATATTGAAAACCCACATTCTTCCACTTTTTCTTTATTTGAAACTGAATAGTTAATGAAATTACCAGTTTTTAAAATATATTTTAGCAAGGCAGATGACTGAATTCAGCTTTTACATAAGCAGGTACCACTGTTGAGCATCTGCCCTACAAAAAAGCAGCTGTTTTGAAGCATTGTTATTGGCTAATCTGCTAGGCAGAAAACCCAGCAAAAAACTGTGATGAAAACAGATAGAAGCTTTATGTATAAACTGAAGCTGTATTTTCAGTTTGCATACCACAATATCTAACTCCTATTCAATATCTCCGAAACAGATAAACTGAAACAGTTCTTAAAGTTTCTGGAGGGTCTCAGTACCCCAGATGGGAAATGGCAGTGGAAAGTCCACTGTAAAATACAAAAGAAACTTAAAGAGCTGGGGAGGTAAGTAGTGTTCTTCAAATACCAGTTGTTAAAATGCTTCAGCTTTAATTATGCTCTCAAAAACCCAATTAAGTAGAACTTACTTTTATATTCGTCTTTTGACTTAAAATTAATATTTAGACTGACCTTACATTTCTAATAGTGCACTTTTTTCCCCATTATAGGTTGAATGCCAATGCCTTGAGTCTGCTGACCCTTCTGAATACCTATCAAAAGCAGCACTTGGTTGAGATTCTGTCTTACCATAATTGTGACTCTCAAACTCGAAATGCTCCAGAATTAGAGTGTCTTATCAGGCTTCAGGCTCAAAACATACAACAGAGACATGTTGTCTTCTTAACAGGTAAACCTTAAAGTTATGAATACTTCTCCCTCTTTTGATAATAGGTGCTAAATAGTAATACAAAAATCTCCTTTTCTGCATTTAGAAAAGAATCTCAAAACACTTTCAAATTATGTTGATAATGGAATAGTGGTTGCTACTGTTGATGACTTTATGCAAAATTTTAAAAGTCTCGTTGGCTATCACAACTCGGTTACTGAAGAAAACAGCCTTCCTCTCTCTGATGCTCACAAAAGACAATCAGGTAATACTAAACACACTTACGCTTTCTTTAGCTAATTAGATGTGTGGGGTGGAGGTCCTTGAGCTAGTGTGCCTTTACTCTTGTAAATGAACACTACAGAAGGCCAGGAAAACCCAACTCTCAAGCTATTCTTTTTCTATTTTAAATGATGGGGGAAAAGCAGCTGGGATGGAGCGCCAAAGGAGATCTTAAATACAGAATCATAGGCTAATGTGGTGTTCAAGAAAGTAGACATATGCCAAAGTGGTGTAACCGTCTGTTTTCAGGAAAAGAATAGACTTAATGGTAGCTTTTAGAAACCGTAGCAGAAGGACTGAGATGTCAGTAATTGTACTCCTTTAATTGTCTGATCAAATACTCACCTACTGTGTAACTTTAGATGCTGTTTTGACATTAACCCCTTTGGAGCTGGGAGTTGGGATTTCCCAACACTAAACATGAACACAGTGCGCAGAAGCTTTTAGCATCGGAATAACTGGACACTCACACAGAGGGTTAAGTGTGTATGTTGAGTAAGTGAACAAGAGTGGCAGAAGACCAAGACTTAAGTGATATTGGACTTGCAGACCTGAAGCGTAACACTCTGTGAGTAGTGTATAGCTTTTCTAACAAAGGTTTGTATTTCAATAGAATAGGACTTTCTCTTTTTTTTTTAATGTAGTTCTTGTAGAAAACGATGAAAAGGATGAGGAGGACATGTCTCTGGATTCAGGGGATGAAACATCACAAATAGAAATCTGCAATGATGCCTCTAAGTATGATACTCACTTGGAAGCTTTGCAGACAGAGGCCAAGGGCTCACATGGAGCAGATGCAAAAGAAAGCTGCTCATCAGTTACAGAGTTATCTCCTGAAGCACAAATTGGCTTGATGGAAAAGACTTCTAAAATTGACTTGGAAGAGATACAACCAATTACTCCAGTTTCTACAACATGCTCTGTTGAAGCAGAAAAACACAATTCAGTTGAACAAGCTCCTTTCAATAACTTCCAAGTTTATAGCAGACAATTAAACATGTCCCATCAGTTCAGTCACTTTAACGTGCTCACTCATCAGACTTTTCTGGGAACAACATACCAAATTTCTTCTGCAAGTCAAAACCAAGAAGGGGGCAATTATTTTCTATCTGCTTACAGTCAGAGCATGGATACAGACAAGTCGTCATCGCCTGGTGGCTGGGATATAAATTGTGATTCTTCTAGGCCATATTCAAAACAGAAATAAACTCCTAAGTCTTTTTATAAGTTGCTGTGGACTTTTCTGTTTCTAAAATGGTGGATTAACAATTTCTATTTTATTCTGGAACAAAATGTTTCTTGTCCTTTATCTCAAATGTTTTCTTGTCTTATTTAAATTCTGATGGCCTGTACCTGATGGAAGCATCTGAAAATTGAAATAAATATATATATTTTTTAACATTTACTGTACTTGAATTATCTTGTTTGTTGGCACTTTTAAGTTTCTATGTTTGTATTTGACCTGTACCTGGGCTTCAGTTTGAGGTCTGTTTTAATGTAAAACTGAATGTTTGCCTACAATATGTGAAACGGCGAGGTTTTTTTTAACTGTAAGAGTATCCAAATCACTTTTCTTTACATAAATATCAAACCTCATGTATTTATTTGACATTTGACACAGATTTTTGTACAAATGTTTTTACATAGCTCTAAGGCAGTGTAGTTATTTTAATGACTATATACTGGATTTTGGCTAAATACCTCAAGTAGAGTAACCAACGGTGCAGTTCCATTACAAAAATAAAATAAACTCTTAGTGCACAAGGGACTTGCTAACACATTGCATTGTCTGTGGTTTTTCTGTTAGTTTCAAAGTATGAGAGAAACACACCCACACTTTAGTTCATGAGTAGCAATTATCTTTGTGCCTGGCTTGACTCCATGCTTATTACAGCACCAGCAGAGCGATCTTAGAGCTCTTATCTTGCCCTTGTCATTACTGTAATGAGAGAAGGACAACCCGGGTTTTAATGACTGTGGTAGTTCAGTTTGCATTAGAAGACCCTCAGGCTTAGCGTTGTCAGAAGTACAGAGTTTTATCTGTTTCTTGTCCTTTTTAATTTCACATCTGTTTATTTTTCCCCAGTGGTTCTCTCGTAACTGGCTCATTTTGTACATCATCATCATCATCTGACTCGGGCTTCTGGAAAACAGCAGCTGACAGTAAATAGCTGTGGAGTCTCAAGACCGCCCTTGTTATTACATTGCTGGTTTTGCATATCCTAATGCTCTTGACTCATACTTTACTGCTCTTGTCTTCAGGTTGGACAACGTTCTATGTTTGGGGGTTTTCTTCTGTTTGTAATTTGATTTTACTGCTTTTACGTAGGATGTGCAGTTTAGTACCAGATGACAGTGTTTGAAACAATATGACTCTAAACTCACAAAATTAGTTGGGAAAAGCATTACCGGTTAAAAAAGGGTAGCTGTTCAAAAACAAACAGGCCCCATAGAATTATCCCTAAAGTTAAATGTCTTTCCTTCTATTAACAGTTGTTTGATTTATTTGCTGAAATCAAGAACAAAGCAATACTCGACCAGTGTAGTAGTTGTTACTCTCCCACTAAACATGGCAAATAAATAATCTTGTTTCAAAAAAAGAACTCCTTTGTATCAAGAAACCGTAATGGATTTGTGAAGAGCTGTTCTACCACCTGTAACATCACGTGCAGATTCTCACCTACTGTGTGACCCGGCACAGAACTGAGAGGAACGAGCGCAGCTTTATTCCCTGCCCTTCCCTCCTGCTGGAAGGCGCCTTCAGATTCAGGTTATGCCTAACAACAGTCACCGCTGGGAGAGTCGGCTCTGAGGTTCTGCGGCATTTATCACTTGGTGTCACAGAACAACTACCGTGAACTCAGGTTATGTGTCTTCTGCACAGATCTAGAAGAGAAACAGTTTTACCCCACATAATCCTACTTCTGAAGACTAAAAGCAAATTAATCTGAATTAAACATTTCATTCTGACTGGAAGCATTGAATATTGTCTGTTCAGACCTTGTTTATAAGAAAACTTCTTAAACTGAGTTCTACTGCCTTGGGCCCAGCCCACTATAATGTTAAGTGCTGTGATGCTGTTTTAATTGAGAGGGGGGAAAATTTATAGTCAGCAATTCTGTGGGATTACTTGAGTTAATATACACTAACTATTCAGACAGCTTTTAGGCTTAGACAAGTAGAAGCAGTTTCACATAGTTAAAAATACCAAGAAAGTCTACCCAAGCCATTCAGAATACATCTTAATCTTTTTATTTATCAAAATACATACACTGAGTTCTACAAAAACCCATATAACATTTTTCTGCTGTGTTTTGGTGATTTATATTAAATACACACAGGTCTTCAAGCAGCATGAAGACCATTCTAAACAGACACCATCATTAGTTAAATGTATCTTCAATATGAAAAGCAACATGACCCTGTAATTATCAAAATTCACATAATTTAAATTCTTCATAAAAAAGGTACAGGTGGTTCATAGTTAATTACGATAGCAAACAAAGTGCTGTGCATTTACATTTTAAGACTTCAGAACATTCATATGTACCTCTCAAAATGGTGAAATAAAGTTATCTTCTTGAGCCATAGGAGGAATCAGCGCAGTCTCCAACTCCTTCTGCTTCTGCAGGAGGCCCTGAAATAAATGGAATATACATGTGAACGTTCTGTCTTCCTCGTGCAGCCTAAACTAATAAAGTGTCATTGTCTCATGTTTTAGAACAATGTACTTGTTATGGCTCAATGCTTTTTAAATACACAACTTAAAAAAACCAAGGGGGTACAACGTAATACGTTCAGTAGAGAGGGAACGTAAGATTCCCTGTCCTGTGCAAAGACGCGGTGTGACTGCAGGGGCAGCCAGTCCAGTTTCCAGGGATGACTGTGCAGAGCAAAAACGACTTTTCCATTGTAGTGAATTTAACTCGCTCCTCTGTGCATTGTCTCTCCATTTGTGGTATTCTAGCATATTCGTGTATGAAGCTGAACCCAAAACCTTGAAGGATACCACCTTTTAGTCTTAACATAAATTATACTCTAAGATAAAAGGACAGCATTAACCATTTGCACTAGAACAGCGTCGGACATCTTAGGATATGCGTATTTGCTCTCAAAAGGTAAAAGGTTCCTGCTTTGTTAATGGCTGTTACCAGTACCTGACAATGGAGAAAACCTGTAATGAAGAACCTCCCGAAAGTGTATCCTTAGCTATGTGATGACAAATACGTGATACAGCTATGTTGGGTGCATTCATAAATCTGAAATAAGTCTCTTTACTCTAATGAATCGTATATAGGATCGTATATATGAATCGTATTAGGATCATATATACCGTTATATCTGGCCCCTTGGTCTCTTTCCATTTTAGACCTGTCAGAAGTAATTTGGTACCAAGTAAGTTTGTTAAAAAAAAAAAAAAAGGAAAAGTTATAATGGTATTTTTCCTCAGTGTTACAAGACCGTTCTCAAAGATAAGGGTGAGAGGCTGCTGGCACAGCTCAGTACAGACTAACACAAGCCAGCAGGGCCTGCGAGACTTTAGACCTGATATTGCTGGTGGGACAGAAGTGTGAGTGAGTGAGGGCCTGGAGACCGGCTTCAGTTCGCAAAGCAGCCTGTTTGTTACAACTTCCCTCTACATCTTTCCAAAAGCAGCAGCTGCCTCCTTGCAATCCCTTGATGAATTGCCTTTTTAACTAATCAACACTACCTGCTATTTCTATTACTGGCTCAGTGGACTCGTTCAGTCCCTTTGTCAATAAATACTTCTATTATAGAATGGTTTTTGCATTTAGTAGCATGTTACAAAACAGTCATGCAATAAATTCCCCTAAATCAACCCAGAGCTGAGGTGAGAAACAAGTAAGTAACACTGGAAACTGGAACAAAGTCCATCACATGGTTCGCAACAGTAATAAAAAGGGCCTAGAGAAAAGTGATGTGAAATATCTGCCCGGGGGCTGGTGAGGGCTCTCTTTGCGTGTCCTTGGCCAGCGGGCTGGTGGCTGCACGATCGCTTAGCTAGTGCAGGCTACAACCTGTTGGCAAGTGCTTTTATTGCCTTAGTAAAAATGAGATGCTTTGGTATGCACTGACTGTAGCTGGGTTTTTTTGTCCTTTTTCTTAAACTTTGGCCATTCTTTTTCACAAATACTTAATTCACTTCGCTAGATGAATAAATGTGGTCTTATTCCACTGACTTTTGATTTCAGTGAGGAAGAAAGAAGTCCGTCGATGGTTCCTATTACCACTGTCACCTGAAACGCAGGAAGAGACTTGCTGTCTTGTAATAAATGCAGTGACAGACTCACCCTCCCTCTGGCCGGGAAAGGCCCCCATCCGCCCTGTTTTCCCTGGTGTCTTCCATGGGTCAGCCAGTGCAGCCGGACCGACACGGAAACAGCCCGACTGTGTCTATCTACGGTGGCTCGAGCTTGTGCATTGCAAAGACTGGTCAAATCAGCTGTGAATTCCCCCAGACAAAAGGCGGCTAAATAACGGCCAAATATTTGGTGAATATATGTATCCACTCTGAAAGTATCAATGCAGTATATATGTGCATGTATATATAATTTAAAAAAAAGACTTGATTATCTTCTGAAATATAGAAAAGTAAAATCACTCTTTGTCTAAATTATATTTCAGAGATAATATTGCATTACTCTTCCAGTGAAATAACTGATGCAAGACAGGTGTAATCTGTAGGCATGTACAATACTTAGGGATACAAACATACCCAAGTTCAACAGTTAGTGTCCTAAATGCATCCTGCAGCTGGTAGGATATTTAGAAAAGAACTCTACATGGTCTAAGTTAACAGTCTTTCAGAACCAAGGCGCATTGAGAGATTAACCATAACATTAGTTTTTAGCCACTGTTAAGACCTTAATATATATTATGCATCAAAAATATCCCCAAGCTCCTGTCTCTTAAGTTTGCCAACATGGATATTATCAACTTACGTCTCTTTCAATATCCACGGCTTTTGTTCATCTCAGTAAGCACAAGGTTCAAGTTGTGCTTTGAAGCTGGCTTCGCTCTTAACCCAAGTACCGCTGGCAAATGAGGCCTGGGTACAAAATACTTAACAGGTGTAGGTATTTAACAAAAATGTTAATAAGCATGGGGGAAGACCTGATCCAGTCAAACGTACTTGGAAACCATTAGAAACTGGCAGCCTTTCAGTGTTCCTGGGTCACAACTTTTCCCAATAACTTCCGGAGAACTGTGACCCTTCATTTGCACCAGGAATTTACCTACTCCTGAAGCATCGTGTATGTGTGGCAGAACTTCTGTCTTTCTAAAGCACAGCAGGTAATTAATAGTGTTAACTACTGGTAGTTTTGTTTACTTAAGTCTGAGAGATTTTCTTCCCTTTATTTTCAGCATTTATGTATTTTTTTTTCCCCCTTAAGGCAAAGAAA